CCCACTTCCCCTCCGGGCCCCGCCTTTCCTCCCTTATTTGGCTTCAACAATTAACCCTTCATAGGGAGGCAGGAAAATAATCCCGTCTACCCTCGCCCATTCACAAGGCCAACCGTTTGTCTTTTGTGCGCTACAGATGTAAAACGAACTTCCGAGTATCATCTGGGAACAGTGGAATTTAAGGGGGAAAAAAAGTTTATAAAGACTACAATTCCCAGGATTCCCTAAGAGCGACTGTAGAATTCTGGGTGCTGTAGTTCCCTCCCCAAAAAAGTAACTTTTCTGAGTTCTCATGGCAGAGAACGAGGGTGGCCAGATAAAAGCTGGTAGAGTTTATTTGATTTTTTAATTCGCTTTTGTTTTATTTGAAATTATTGGAATCTGCAAACTGAAATTGATGGGGGCCTTGAGCGAGAGTCCCATTTGGTTGATGCTGCTGTTTCATTTAAAATATTTAATATGCATATTTCCTTTTTTTAAGGGTTTGAAGATCTTATTTGCAAACTCCCTGAGTGTGTGTGTGTGGGGGGGGGTGACTGTTGTTTTTCTTGCTCTAAAAAAAGCATCCACATACCCACTGCTATCAAGGGACAAGAGGTGCAATTTTTTAAAATAAAAAATTTTGGGGGGGGGAATGCTATGTTTATTTTGCTACTTATTAATTAAGCACATAACCAAGAAATAGAGAATAGGTCAGTCCTTTGGAGAGCCGCTATAGAACGGTGAGAATCAGCTGATTCATGTCTAAACCTGCAGAAGCCCTCACATTTCCTGGCCAAGCTTGGGCCACGCAGGGATTGTGGGTCAAGGAAGTGAAAGCTGGCGCTCCGTAGAACAAAGGCCGAATACAGATACAGCCAATAAATCAGCAAAGTAAATATACGCCAACGGAAACGGTGGCCTGCAGCAAAGTGGGTGGTTATTGTCTCCAGTATTATTTTGCTGACGTTTCTGAAGAAGGCCTTGACTTAAGAGCCACCTCTATCCATTTCCAACTGATTAATTCAGAATCTTTATTAAGCTGATGCCGCAGGCCTTAAATAAGGTGGCTGAGTGCTGGAAGTCAAGAAGAATGATCACCACACCATCATCATGTCTGTTTAAAGTGTGATGGCTAATGAGAATAACCCATTTTTTAAAAATGCAGCTCCATGTTGTCATCCCATATGGGGATGCCAACTTCTTCCATGATATTGCCTCCTACGCCTTTAATGGCATCTCACTAGGAAACCTTTGAGCCAGTAAGGATGCCACCCTCCTTCCAACGGGGAAGTTCCCTGGCTGTTTGGTGCCTGTTTCGACCGACTGTCCAATGCAAAAGAACTTGGCCTTCCTGGTAAGTTGGCAACCCAAACGTGCAGGGTTAGCCTGGAAACATTTTGCTGTCTGAGACAAAAGACAGCATCTTTCAAAATCTTTCAAGCAGAGAGGACAATGAAGAAGGGACCGCGTGCTTTCCTCCTCAGCTAAAATTCTCACCTCAAAGAAGGCGGAGGGAACTTTTGAATCACGCCCGTCACCTCTCGCCACTTGAGCCTCTTGTCCTGATTGGATCGACACCCCTCCCTTGGCGTGTAACCTATTCTTAATTTTTCTGGCCTTTTTATAAGAACGTGGCCTCGAAGCTGGATAATTAGGGGGCGTGTTGGCCGGCCTTACAACTGACGGTGCTTCTCTTCCAGATGGAGATAAGGAGGGAAATAACTGTTTGAGTAGGAGGATGGGTGGAAGACAAAGGTGAATACATTATTTAAATAAACGTATAACTGATTGTGACCAGATGGGGTGTGTAGGTGAGATCTCCCGTCTGGGCCTGACATAGTATTCTCATTTTTCTTATCTTTTTCTTCCTGTATTAGATCTATGCAATGGGTAGGAGACAGATGCTTCAAACATGAGCCAGAAAACTCACAGTCTGACTTCTGTCTGGCAGTGCTGCAGTTAAATGTCGAACTGGAGTGCGTTATTATTCCCGTGGCATTCTCATGCCCCCCAAGACTGTTGCAAAGTTTTGAATTTCTGGCTAAATTCCTCTAGCTGTGTGTAGCAGAAGCGCAGGCAGTCCCAGAGTGGAAAAGCTTCAAGTTCTGCGGAGTAGGGCATCCCATTTTTTTTCTCATCCACTGGGTCTTACGGTCTCAGTAACTCACTCTGCGATATTTGTAGGAGAAAGAACAAAAGGTGTTACCTACTTACAGTTTAACAGATCAAACAGCAAACTGACTAACATGTCTGCTTTTAACAACGGACTTCAACAGAGAGGGAGAAACCACTGAGCAGAGAGGTGGGTCCCAGACCAGAAAAGGTACCCTTCCAGACAAACCTACTAAAGGCAGCATGCATGAATGCAAAATCCCCAACAAAAGACAGTTTAAAAATTTGAACAGAGCTGAGTTGATTCCTATCAGTTTACCGGCTCTAGCAGTTTTTAATCTTCACCGAGAACAGGTCTTTGGTAAAGTTTACAGCTCTTGATTGCTCATCCCCACCTGAGTCCAAATCATTATGAGCAGGGCAGCTGACCTCAACTTCTTTTTTTTTATTTGAAAAATGGAGGGGATGAAGGGTTATAATTAAGGACCAGCACGAAGGAAACCCACGTACCAACCCTGTGCGCGGACGGTAGCAAAACCGGGAGACAATCAACCAGGAAGGAAGCAACGGCCGATGAGATGTGACAATGACAAACAAACCAGAGCAAAATTTGCTGCTACCTATATTTATTTCTGCTGTGTTACTACAGGGCATGGATGTGCCGTTTGGAAGCAGGCACAGGGGAGGGAAGGCGGAATAAAGGAAGCAACTGATGATGGTTGTGTTTACACCTACCCACCGATTCGGGGGCTCTGTTTCGCTGGGGTGTGAGCTTCGCAACCGTGACCTCTGTATCAGGCTCCAGCAAGCATTGAGCGTCGTGGACAGATTGTTATCGGGGTTTGCAGAGAAACGGCTTGGTGCAAGGCTTGTATCTACTGGTTTTAATCTCTGTTTCCAGGGCGCGCTCGGGAGGCGCTCCAAACCCCTGGGACGTGTGTCGGCTTGTGATCCTTGAAACGGGGAGGGCAAGGATTATCCCCACCTAGGATCGGAGCAGAGGGCCGGCCCTGCTCCTCGAGAAGCACTACTGTACCTTCCTGTCTCCCCTCCCTAAATCCGTGGTTGGGAACACCTCTTCCAGGGATCATCCTCTGAACGTCAGAAGTACAAATCTGGAAGGGGCCCCTAAAGATCATCCAGTCCAGCCCCTATCAAAGAGGCCCTGGGGGAGGGGGGAATCGAACACCCAACCTCTGGCTTGGCAACCAGATCCAACCCTCTTGTAGGTTTGCAGCTTGCCAAAACGTAGCCGCCGCCCCCCAATCCCAAGCATTCCAGGAAATTTAAATTCACCTCGATTCTTTTTGACAGGGGGGGCAGAAGGCTTGGCCGTGTTGTCCGGAGGGGGATTGTGCGATTTGTAGTCAGAGGCGGGAAGGAAGGGTTAGAAACCAGGCTGTAAGATACAGGCCCGTCAGGGAACAGGAAGCTTCCTGCTTTGGACTACAATGCCCAGAATCCCCCAGCCAGGTGAGAGGATGTTGGGATTTGTAATCCCCCACCCCCAAGGATTCACCCCCCCTCCTCCCAGCTCTGTTCTCGAGGGCAGGGTTTCCCCTTCCCCACAATCATCACCTTGCCAGGGAACGGACGAAGCCTCCGGGACGGGAAAGATAGGACGAGACACCCCAACCTGTTTTGCAACGCTGGGGCCCCAATAACAGGTCTCCCTCGTCCGGAAGGGAGGGGAACTCGGGGGTGTGAGGAATTCGGCAATTACAAAGGCAGAGGTGAGGTTCGCTCCAGCTCATCACGCCCAGATGGTTGCAAGATCCCGTGGATGCTCCCCCGTGACCATTGACCCAACCGGTTACCTAATAATGCCTTTTAAAATGATATTTTTGCCATCTCTGGATTCCTCAAAATATGAGCCACGGGGGGTGGTGGTGGTGGTGGTGGCAGCAGTCAAGTAGAACAGTTTTTCTTTATCCATTTACCCCAGTCCTGCTCGGGAGGACATCTCTCCACCGAGGAATTTCAAGCAGAGGTTTCAGCCTCACAACGACCCGGTGAGGTCGGCCCGGTCAGGAGTAGCGAAGGCTGTGTTCATGGGGGGAAAAGCTATTCTGATGACTTTATGCACACCTTATACGCTTGCCTAGCCAGTCTCCGGCTCACTTCATCATTTAATCATACAGTTAAACACACAAACACAGACACCCCGACACACAAAGTTCTGGGTTCAGTAAAACCTTGGCCAAAAAAATTGCAAACAAAGCCAGCTTTTCAGCGGCCCCATCTGGACGAGCCCGGAGGTGTGAAGGCACCAGGGCCCGGCCTTCTGCAGAAAAGAAACGGCTGTCCGGGAACCCAGTCGCTGCTCAACCGACAAAAGGCGGTGAGGTAGCAATGAATGTCCTAATCAAGAGCAGGTCTTTTATAAACCCAATGGGTTTTAATCGCTGACCCAAGACCAATCCATTCCAAAATTCCTTATGTTGTAAACAGGAAGGGCTTTGACCGTTTATTGTTACTTAAGGAAGTTTCTCCCATCATCCTCCCAGATACTGGGGGAAAGCTGAACTCTGAGGGAAGGAGGAAATCCCGGAGAGGCATGGCAGACGACGTCAATGTCTCTGATCTTTTGGGGGGTCTGGAAATGGATCGTCACCAGAACAGGAGCGAAAGAACCCGCCCTCCAGACCAGAGCGACAACATATTCCTTTCTAGGACTACATGTCCTAGTCTCCTCCAGTCATCCGGGTGACTGGAGTTGTGCCATAGGGCTAAACATTGCCCCCGGAACAAACCAAGACTAAAAACAAAGCATGCCTTGGGGGAGGAAATAAAAAGTATCATAAATCATGGGAAAGGTTACTGTACGCATGTGTGATAGATAGATAGATGCACCCCACTGCCTCCATGTGGGTTGGGGTCAAGAGCTCAGTCCTCCTGGGTCATAGAGTTTGATGTTCCGACATTTCCCCTATCTTGGCCGCACTCCAAGGAGAGCAAATGGGCTCCTCCCTTCTCCACCCACATCCTTCAACCCTGGATTTGTCAAGAAGTCTTGCGTAGGCGGTGGCTTCAAGAGGCACATGATCCTGGCATCTGGAACCGCTGGATCTCTCTCTCTTTTTCTTTCTCCTCCTCTCTCCCTGAAGGATCCGAAGTCTTTCTTGCACCACTGTTCCAAGCCACCTGACCCATTTCATTCTGGTCCACACCTTAAGGGTTCAGGGCTGGTGAAAGCACGGGGCGAGATTTGCATATCTATGTGGGGCGGCCTGGGGGATCAAACATGATCTTCTGAAGACAATCGTACTAGGAAAAGTTGACGGCAGCAAGAGAAGAGGAGGACCAACAGGGAGAGAGGGGTTGACTCCCTAAGGAAACCACGACCTTGAGTCTGAGAAGTACAGCACAGGGCTGTGGAGGACAGCCCATTTTGGAGGTCAAGAATTCATTCAGTCATGGAGCCGCCATAAACCGAAGGGAACCTGATCGATCCTGACACCATGTGCATTACAAACTCTGGGAGCTATTCTCCCCATATAACCCATAATTAATTAAGGCTGCAAGGTTATACTTAAATCCCTGGGATTAAGTCCCTTGGAAGCCAGTGACGTTTACATCCAAACAGATTGATACAGGATTATTGTTTAAATGACTTTAATCCCCCATCATCCTTCAAAGGCCGTTTAAAAAAAAATTCAAGAGACCTTCCCCGACTTTTAATTATCCCGATATGGCCACAACCCTCCTGAAATATATTATCATGGTAACCTCAGTTATATTTTATTATATATTACTACCCTATATACTATACTACGTTTGTACTATGCTCTCGGGACCCCCGCCGAGCGGATGGAACGCGGAGGGCGCCGGCGTTCCAAGCGGATGGAACGTTCGCCCCCGCAACGTTCCAAGCGGGTGGGAGGGAACGCGGGGCCGTTCCGGGGCGCGGAATTGCAACGGGATCGCTCGCCCTCCGAAGGGGCG